CCTAACCCTAACCCTAACCCTAACCCTAACCCTAACCCTAACCCTAACGGTAACCCTAACCCTAACCCTAACCCTAATCCTAACCCTAACCCCTATCTCTAACCCTAATCCTAACCCTAACCCCTATCTCTAACCCTAATCCTAATCCTAACCCTAACGCTAACCCCAGACCAAAAATCTCATCACGATCTCAAAAGAAAGGAGATCCCAGGATCCCAAGGGATCTCCATCCCGGCGAAGCGCGCGTCCACGTCACTATCCTACCTACATCCGACTTCAGCCAGCGGTGGATAGGCAAGAAATGACGTAGGCAGACCCATGGACGGTGCCGCCGACGAGGCACAAGAAGACCGCGTGTGCTTCGTGATCGGCGCCCTCCTTGAGGCGACGTCACGGATGGGCCCCTGTGACGTAGGCGCCCCGCGCGATCTTAGTGGATTACCCCCGGCGCAACGGAGGCGCGCGGGAGTGGAGGGGATGGTTAGCTTGCTACAAAAGTCGCGAGTTCGCGCCGCAGGCAAAAGTGTCTCTGGAGTTCGAGCGTGCCGCCGCAGGCATGGCGCGCTGGGAGTTTCCACGCCGTGGCGAGTTTCGGAACGTCCGGAAGACAGACCGTCGGAAATCTACGCCAGGCGCCGCGGGACAGATCCAGGCGCCCCTCGGACGCTTGCGGGAACCGGTCGCGTAGCGAGGCTCTCGATTCACATACACGCTCGTTCGCGCCACTTTTTGGTCCTGCTGGACAGCGGCGCCATGCCTGGCCAACACACACGCCTCGCGCAGCGCATAGACGCACGCAGAGACCCGCAGCGGCGCGGCGAGGGCGCGGACCGACTCCATGCGCTCCCCAAAACCACTCGGTCGCCGGGGGTCCACGACAGTGCACGATGATGATACAGACCGGGGCTCGTGATAGCATGCATGCCCCATCTCCAAACTTCGAACCACCGACCGCGGCGCCTACCTCCGGCCCAGGCACTTTCCCAAGGGCTAGACGGACCGCAGACCGGCTACCGCCAGCTCCGCGCCGTTCCGCTAACCCTGACCGTAACCCTCCGGCGAGCGGATGGGCGCCGGCCAGCGCCCGCCGCCGTCCGGCTACCCTAAACCCGAACCCTGACCTAACCCTATCTCTAAAAGCTCCGACTACCCGCCCACGGCGGAACTCGGCCTCGATGCGCGCGTCCGCGTCGTCGGCCCACAGGACGGAGTAGGTCTCGGAGACGGCGTCCCAGGCCTTGAGCGACGTGATGGAGCCCATGCCGCGGTTCTCGCCGATCTCGAGCCTCGTGACGTAGACGGCCTCGTCGATCTCGATCTCGATGAACTCCGTGTAGCCCGAGGCGGCGTACCTACAAGAACAATCACACAACGCATCGAACTACGACGACACAAATGCGTACGACGCGCTCGAGTCCCAGGCGAAGCTCAGGAACTCGTCGCCGCCCTCCACGTACCCAGTGCCGCCCTGCAGCGTCGACGGGCAGTACGCGCGGTCGCTGTCGCCCCACGCGTCCGGCGCGTCGCCCGGGCCCAGGATCTGGTTCGGGTGCCAGCGCGGATAGAGGACGCCCTCGCCGTTCTCCACGTCCTTGCTCGACGGCCAGAAGGTGGACACGGCGTGGACGGCCGACGCGTACTGGTCGAAGGTGGCCACGCGCGTCGACGGCTCGAACGGCGCCGAGACGAGCGTCGTCGCGCCTTCGTGCGTGACGTAGAGGTCGCCGTAGACGGGGAGCGACGCGACGACGACGACGGTGTGGGCCGTGTCCTCGTCCCTCGACGCGACGACGAAGGACGCGTTGGCGAACTGGTCGAGCGTCACGTTCGTCGACGACGGCGACGGCAGGTCGTCGACGGGGTACGCGATGACGAAGCGGAGGGTCGCGATCTTCGAGGTGCGATTGTTGCTCGTGGTGCTGTAAAAGTCGGCGATCTCCGACCCGTCGAAGTCGTCGCTCGGCACGTACTTGTAGCGCGAGAAGACGAACGTCGGCTCGTAGGGGGCGGCGTCGACGAGGACGTCGTCTGCTCCTTTGCTCACGTCGACCTCGTAGAGCGTGCCCGAGGGCGGCAGCGAGACGACGGAGTAGCGCATCGGCATCCCCGCGTCGTCGAAGCCCTCGGGCAGGAACTCGAAGGAGTCGTCTTCCGCGAGCTCGTAGGTCGCGTTGTCGAGCCGCGGACGACTCGAGAGCGAGTAGTCCGAGAGCGTCGGGGACGTGAGCGTCGCCGAGAAGGCGGAGCATTCGTAGGCGTCCGCCTCGTTGACGAAGCTCGACGCGAACGTGTCTCCCGCGGCGATGCCTCCCGAGACGCCGTCGTAGCGCGCGCCCGCCGCGCCGAGGTTCTTCAGCGTCGAGGACGTGTTCATCTCGTAGCGGATAGCTGGGGAGCCCTCCGCGATCGCGTTGGCCCAGATCGCGACGCTCCGCAGGCCTCCGAGGAAGACGAAGTCGTTGTGCAACCGCGTGAACGCGCCGTCGGCGTACGAGCCGTACTGGCCAAAGTAGATCGTCTCTATGGCGCCCGGCCCGAAGACGCCGGCGGTGGAGCTCGAGGCTTTCTCCGCCGTCGTGTTCCAGCGCAGCGCGTCGTCCACGCGCAGCGAGAGCACGTCCCGGCCCTTGTCGTAGCTTATCGTGTACCGGTGCCAGTCGTTTACCTGCGAGTCGGAGCGCGGCGTCTCGGCGCGCGCGTGCGGCCGAGTCGGCGCGCGCGCGGCCGAAGAAACCCACGACGCCGCGACGCACGTTCACGCCTTCGAGCGCGGGCACCTCGAAGGTCTTCCCGTCGAAGTTGATGCCCGCGGCGTTGTCCGCCGCGAGCCGCATCGAAAAGTCCCAGTTGGACATGAACACGTAGGCGGAGTGCTTCCGGAACGCGTGCAGCCGCGCGACGATGGAGATGGTCACATTTCCGAGCGGGAGGGAGCCGTCGGCGTCGAAGCTGCTCGCGACGCCGATCACGTCCGTCGTGCGCTGGAACGACAGGTAGGTTTCCCCGGAGGCGGCGGAGACACAGAGGGCGACGAGGCCGCCGAGGCACAGGCGCGGTCGCATCGTTCGTTCATGAAGTGCTTGACCCAGCTGCCCGGCCGCCCATCTTGACGGGCATTCTTTGCCGCCGGTTGTTGAACGTGCACCTTGATGGCTTCTTGCACGGACGATCGATGGGCAGCCCTGCAATATTATGATGCTCGACTCGCTCGAGTGCGGCGGCTGTAATCAGCCCGAAGCCGTGTCGGAGCGCGGCGACGCGAGCGCGCCGCGACGACGGCGTTCGCGTTCGCGTCCGCGCCCGGGCGCCGATGGCTCCGAGATAGTCCACCTCCACGCGCGCATCGACGCCCTGACGAAGCAGCTCAACACCCGCGTCGCGGCGCTGGACCACCGCTGCGGCGAGCTGGAGCGGGAGGCGTCCGCCCGCGGCGGCGAGGCGCCCACGGCGCGCGAGAAGCCGGACGGCGGCGGCGACGACGAGCCGGACGGCGACGGCGAGCCCGGCGGGCTCAAGGAGACGGTCTGGGACTGCGTGCTCCTCAGCGTCTTCGTGTCCGGAGGGCGAGTCAACGAAAAGCCTCGTAGGTGCTCCTCGTCGGCGACAGGAAGCGCGTCGGCGTCGGCGCGAGCGCTTTCCTCGCGGGGCTCGTCGCGCTCAACGTCTTTGTCCAGCTCGTCTTCGTCATGCTCATCTTCGGCATCACGGAGCAGGCCGTCTCGCTGGACACGATTGACGAGCTCCGGTCCTGGCGAACCTCCGTCGCGCACGACTACCGGTACTACGACGCGCGGACGGAGCGGAGCCTCGCGGCGCGCGTCTGCGGCGGCGACGCGAGCCTCGAGATGAGCGGCGCGCAGGGCGAGTTCTACGAGCTGCTCACGCGGTATAGCGGGCGGACCGCGGACGCGGCGAGCCTGACGACCGCGGGGACGACCATGTGCCTCTTGGCTCTCTGCGTCTGGTGCCTCCGGATCATCTGCGAGGCCAAGGACACCGCGGCGCTCATCTACGCCATTTCCCGCCTTCCGCGGGGGCCGTCGGCCTTCGCCGACGACGGCGACGGGGGGTTGGTGTTCGAGGGAATCTCCGACGGGCGGCGCGCCTGCTGCCTCGTCGCGCAGGCGGCGCGGCTCGGACTGGCGCTGACGCTGGGCGCGTGCGGATGCCTCTTCCTCGCGTTCACGCCGAGCGTCGAGGATCTGATCATGAACGCCGTCGCCCTCGAAGTCGTGCTTGGCATCGACGAGCTCATCTACGAGGCCCTCGTCCCCGCGCACGTGAAGCGGCTCGCGGGCCGCGTCGCGGGCCTCCCCGCGCCGCGCCGCAGCATGCGCCTCGGCGGCGTCGGCCGCGAGGTCGCGGTCTTCGCGGTCTTCGTGTCCGTCGTCCTCGCCGTCTTCTTCGGCGTCGTCCTCCCGCAGAACCGGCTCTACATCCGCGCGCGGGACGCGCTCTGCAGCGGCGACCGCGACTTCGTCTACACCGTCGACGGCGTCGGCCAGACCGTCTGGAGCTTCACGCCGGACGCGGACCCGGCGCAGACCGCGGACTTCAACTACCCGGACGGCGGCTCGCTCCACGACGACGAGGTGGGCATGGACGAGGTCGCCGGCTGGGACTACGGCCGCTACGTCGTCGAAGCCCTCCTGCGCCAGCAGGGCCGCGACGAGGCCCTGCAAGACTGCGGCCTCGACGTGTGCAAGGAGGTCGGCAAGAATGGCATCGTCGGGGAGTCCAAACACGACGCGCCGATGTGCTGCGTCACGCAGTGGGCGTCGGTGCCCAGCGTGGAAGGGGGGACGTTCTCGATTTCCGGCGCCCAGCTGCACGGCGCGGAGGACGGCGCCCGGCTCTGGAACCCGAGCTGCATCGACGTGATCGACGTCGAGCTCCCCTACATCTCGCAGATCGCCGGCGCGCTCGCCGACGCGGTCGACGGCCGGGACGCCTGCGGCGGCTCATGTCCCGCGGGCGCGCCGTTCTGCGACGTCGCGACGGGCTCGTGCAAATACCCATCGTGCGACGACGTCGCGGCTTATTGCGGGGACAGCGGCGAGAGCGGCGTGCGCGCCCGTCAAATATGCCCCGGCGTCTGCGGCTGCGACGACCCCCGCGCGCCCCTCGCCCTCTCGTACCCGAGGGACGGCTGCGGCGAGTCGTGCACGCGCGGCGAAAAGTACCGCCAGGCCCTCGACGCGCTGCCCTGCGAGGACGTCGCGGTCGATGATCCGAATTTCGTCGCGTTCCTCGACGACTGGGAGCGAGCCGCCTGGGGCTGGATGGAGGACATCAAAGTCTTTTCTCTTATGTACTTCATCCCCGCCTTCCGCGACATGGGCTGCGGCTTCTTGAGCTCGAATCCCGTCGAAGACCCCGAGTGGCTCGAAACCCACTCGATGTTGCCCTACACCTTCGGGGGCAACATGTGCGTCGAAGACGCGTCGTGGTTTCCGATCAAGCCCCTGTCCTACTTCTGCCCCGTCGCCTGCGCGTGCGCGTCCGGCGACCCGCACTGCCCCACGTCGTGCCCGGAAAGACGGGCCACGAACGCGTCCGACGCCTCGTCCTACTGCCCGGACTACCAGCGCTTCGGCCGAGACGGAACCTGGGATCCGCACGGCAACAGCACGTGCCCCACGGGGGTAGAACACGGGGTCTATAAATGATCCGCGCGACGCCCCCGTGTTAGATGCGCGACATGCGGCGCTTCGCGTTCCCACCTCGCTTCACGGGCGAGTGGCCGAGCATGACGGAGCTCGCGCGGCGGCGAGGGCCTCCTCCTCCAGAAACACCAGCCACTTTGCGCTTGTCGAGCTCGGCGAGGAACTGGTCCGGCGCCGCCGGGAAGCTCGGGAGGATGGCCGCGGGCGTGTTCGTCTTCTCCGGCGGCGGGAGCGTCGCGACGCGGCCCGTGGACGCGCGCGACGAGTCCGCGGACGACGCGGGCGAGAACGCGGCGCCGTCGCGCTTGCCGAGCCCCGCCGCCTGCCCCGAATCCTCGAGGTTCAGGCGCAGCTTCTTCATGCCCGGCGGACCCAGGGACCGAAACAACGCGTCGTCGCCGGCCTCGGCCGCCGCGGTCGCCGCGCGGAGCGCGTCGCCGGCCGTGCGGACGGCCCGCACGAGCCTCAGCTGGCCGTCGGGCCGCGCGCGGCTCGTGTAGATGGCGTCGAGGTCCCCCGCCGCGCCGACGAAGGGCCGCAGGGCCAGGCGGTAGCCGTGGGCGCGCGCGGCCAGCCGCCGGAGCAGCGCCGCGCGGTCCGCGGGCGCGACCGCGGCGACGCGGCGCGGGTAGATGGGCTCCTCGTCCGGGGCCGGCACGGACGCCAAGCCCCCCCGCTTGCCCATGCCCCCGCCGCCGAAGAGCACGGACGGCGCCGAGCTCGACGCCACCAGCGCTCTCCCGTCCCTCTCGCGGCCCGCGTCCGACCGCGCGTCGTCGAGCGCGCGGCAGACGAGCGCGACGACGCCGTCGGCGACGCGGCACACCGACGCCCCCCGCTGGCGCAGGTGCTTCGCCGCGAGCTGGGCCTCGAGCGTCTCGCGGCGCACGACGCCGACGGCTTCCTCCAGCGCCTCGAGCTCCGCGGCGCGCGACGCCCTCGAAGGAGGACCGCGGCGCCGCAGCGCGCCGCTCTCGTCGAAGTGAACCCCCCCGAACGCCGGCGTGTAGTCGAGGTAGGGCGTCGCCACCTGCTTCTCCCTCGCCACGAGCCCCAGGGCCTCGTCCTCGTCGTCGGAGCTGTACAAATCCTCCTCGGCGACGTCGATGATCTTCAGCGTCGTGCCCGAGCTCAGCGACGCGCGGCGGTGGTCCTCGGGCGGCGCGCTCGCCGCGGCCTCGGCGTCCTCGCGCGCCGACGCCGCCGCGAGCGTCTCCCCGGACAGGTCGACCTCCCGCTCCAGCGACACGACGAGGCCCTCGAGCCGCTTGTGCTCGGCGACGCGCGCGGTCACCTCCGTCGTCGACTTCTTGAGCGCGTCGCGCGCGGCGCGGTGCGCCTCGGCGACGTCGTCGGCGATGACCTCGGAGCGGAAGTGCTCGAACTCGCTCACGGTGCGCCGGTCCGTCTCCGCGCGGAGCTCGTTCCGCAGGCGCTCCTTCCGGCGGACGCGCTCGCGGCTCCACAGCTTGCGCTCCTCGCCGAGCGTGCGCTCGAGCTCCTCCTGGCGCGCCCGCAGGGCCTCCTTCGTCGCCAGCGCCGCCTCGCGCTCCGCGGCGTCGCCCTTGGGGAACTCGTAGAAGTGGCGCGGCAGCTCCGCGGACCGCGGGCTCGGCGCCCGCGACGGCGCCGGCAGGCTCTGGTGCGTGTCCACGGTGCTCCGCAGGGCGTGGTGCTGCGACGGCGGGTCGCTCGCGCCCAGGTTCCCGCCGCTCCCGACGCGGCGCAGGAGCGCCTGGTGGCCCTTGCCGGGCGTCGGCGGGTTGTTCGAAAGCTCGAAACCGACGAGCTCCTCCCCCCGGCGGCTCGCGACTCGTTCCAGCAGCCCCGGGCTCGACGCGCCGTGGGGCCCGCCGATGGAGCCCCGCGAGCCCCGCGTGCCCGGCGGCGACTCGTCCTCCTCCGCGCCCTCGGTCGCGTCGCCGAGGAGCTGCTGCGCCTTCTTCAGGCTCGCGCGCGCGTGGGCCGCGGCCTTGATCTTCACGTCGAGCGTCTCCGCGTGCTCCCGCTTCAGCTTCGTCATCGTCCGCCCGTGCTGCTTCTCGTCGCGCTCGAGCTCGACCTTGTGCACGAGCACGCGGCGCTCGAGCCGCGTGATCGCGTCGTAGTTGTTGTCGAGCTTCTGCTGGAGGAAGAAGTAGAGGTCCTGCATCTCGTCCTTGACCTCGGCGAGCTCCGCGCCGAGCTTCAAGTTTTCCTCGTTGAGCGACGCCGCCCGCGACTGCGCTTTGTCGAGCGTCTCGCAGGCCGCGGCGAGGTTCCGCGCCGCGGCCTCGCGCGCCTGGGCGACGACCATGGCCTTTTCGTCCTCGTTGATGGGCGGACCCTCCGGGTCGTCGCCCGCGGGCTTCTTGTCCTTCTTCTTCGGCATGGCGCCGGGGCTCTCGGGACGCAAA